TTGCAGCTTCTACTTTGTGACAGAAACGTCGCTTGTGGCTCACAGTGACTCGATATCATTCATGAAAAACATGTTTGACATATTATAGGCCAACAAGTCATTTACAGGAGTTTAAATACGGGCCATCTTTTTTTTGTTTTTTGCACAAATACTGAAAATCACTTTTGGCACAACACCGGTGATGAGTTATATCAGCGCTGATAATAAATATTAAATAGTTATTGTAGTTTTAACAAACGATAGAATTATAATATTAGTAGTATCGTGATCGATTTATTATTTGATTTGAGTATTATAAAATTTGATTATAGATTATTATGGATTGTATAGAATTGTGGTCTCATAGTCGATAAGAGGCATCTTGAAGTAAAGGTTTAATTTCTCGTTAGTTTTCATGCACAGGACGTCAAATATGGCTGTTTAGCCAGCAATGAGTTGCTGCAGGCGGGTCAGAGTGACGCACAAGCCTGGCTGCTTTAGTGCAAATCCGTGAGTGAAGCATGTGCGGAGGCAACAGTTAGGCTGGTCTCACTCCAGACTCCAAACCTCGACCTTTGCGTAAACCTAAGCAATTATTTTAGGTTCCTAAACTTCGTCAAGCAGCCAGGAAAGGGAACATAGACACAGACAAGTTAATGAATAAATAAATAAATAAATAAATAAATAAATAAATAAATAAATAAATAAATAAATAAATAAATAAATAAATAAATAAGTGAATAAAGCAGGACACAAAGCTCAGACTCTTTAACAATCCTGTTATTTCCACCAACCAACCTGCCTTCTTATAGGTTCATTATGAGAAGAATTACATCCAGATCAACTTCCAGATCATGTTTATATATAATTTACAAACTGTTATTTACAGTTTATGATGTTAATAACAGTTTGTAAATTAGAGCCATCATTATATTGTTCATTAACACTAAAACCTATCAACATTAGTGTAATTAACTATTTACAGTTCATTCATAATGCCCCCCATGAAGTTTAATTGCAATTTTATTTAAAAATGTAGTTTTAAAAAAACCTAAATATAGCTTATCAGTAGAAAAGATCCTGTTATAAAAATACAGATATATCAAAAAACATTTTTATTGAATTTGTTATGGTGTGTAGCCAACTTTAACCTTCATCAACAACTCAAAAATATCCAACTGTCTTTTATTAATCTAATTTTTTTTATAACACCAATCCTCAGAATATCTTATATTCAAATATATCTTGCATTTTAAATTAAATTCAAATGTTCTGTTTTTTTTCTGGAGCACCCACCTCAATGTTTAAATCAGCTACAGCAATAAATACAAGTGTTGGAGTCAGAGAGAGTTTGCCACCGTCTTTCATTACCACTATTCACGAGCACAGGCCAGCACGGCTTCTCAGGCAACTAAAAGTCCATAGCAAAGTTCATTTCTAACAAATAGGACGGGTCATTCATGCAGGGAGAGCCACATAATGAGGGGATGAAAATCTACTTCCAGACCAGAGAATGTCAGTAAAACCTTATAATTACAGATAATTGATCTGTTAGTTTTTGGTAGAACTTGGGTTATTGGCTGATTATTGCCCCATGTGCTCCTGTTGGTTCCAAGAGGATGAAAGGACTCTGTATGGGGTTTGTCTTACACAGTGTAAAACTGGCTTTTGGTTGGCAGCAATAAGCAGAAGCTGAACATGTTCAGTACTTGAGACACTGATGTCTACAGGAAGAAAAAGATCTAGTTTTACTTTCTCTTAAGGAACTGCAGCAACATGGGAAAATACACTAGAGGCTGCACACAACAGTGAACTGTGACCACCCCTGAGCTACAATTCACGGCTGAGGGAATTCAACAACTGGAAAAAATAAAATGCTTGGGTTATTTGGGTCTGTAAGATGTAACATGGTGCAGAGCTAATTTTCTAGAGATATTATTTTAATTTAGAAAAAAACCCTCAACAACTGTAGTTTTTCGTTAATTGAAGCATGCAGAGCCAGACTTCTACATCTTTGTATAGTCACAAATTCTGGTTCCAGTGCTCACACCCCGAGAGAAAGTGCAGTCTTTACTCAGTTGTCTGAATTATTGTGCAACACAAAAGAGCCTTCTGTAAAAGTCTCTGCAGTATATGTGACAAGTGCTCTGACCCCAGAAGGTGATGGAGAGCTGGTGCTCCCTCTTACAGAGCACCAGTTAAATTCATGCAAGCATCCAAACTGCCTTCCACTGTGAAGAAACAAAAGTGTCTCCTGTCAGATAATATATTGGATCTTCACAGTGACCTGCAGACACCAGCACAGACATTCACCTACACATCTATGTTCAAATGTAAAACACATTTCTTAAATAACTCCACTAAATCTGTAGCAGGATTTCAGCTTCATGAGGTACCTCACCCCCCTTCATTTAATATACACCACCACATCTCATTAAGCTCCTATTCAAATCGCAGGATCCCAATTTGAATATTGGCGCGACGTGGGGTGAGAGGGTGCCAGCTCCGAGTCAGCGCATACACGGGCACAAATGCACACACTGAATCCTTGTGGTGGCGAAAATGTATTGCAGTTCATATTTACATCTTTACCGACAGGTGAAGCGTCCTTTGAGCGCGCTCGACAATGTGCGTAAAAACCGCCTCCTCTCTGTTCAGTGAAGCGCTGCTGCGAAACTATCCGGCGTCTGGACTGGCAGCAGTAAAAACAATGGGGTGATGGTGAGGATGGTTTACTGTTGTCGGAAGGTTTGAGACAGATTTTGACCCAGCAGCCAAAAGACTGTCTGCTTCCCACGGCCTGGAGAAAGAAAACTGAAGACGATTATTTTTCACCAGTTTCTAACGAACCAAATAAAGTTTGGGAAGGCAGCCCGCAAAAGCCACATGAACTGGATCCAGAGGCGATAACATGGAAGCAGAGAATAATATCTAATAATAAACCTGTAAACTCTCGACCTCCTTATCACCTGACAGGGAAATGTGCAATCTGCCTCTCAGCTTGAAAGTGCGCCATTATTTGGGCATATGAGGCTTATTGGGGCAACTACACAACGTACTGCAACAAATGAGTAGTGAAATTACCTTCTTCTCAGTCAATCATTGGACTAAAATACTGCACAGCCTACTGCAGCAGGCTCAAATTGAAATTACAATCTAGATGACACTCAGACTTTGTACATTTAGCCTAATTTGTTTTGCATTTTTCCTCGGGAGTGATTAGTAATAAGGTTTTCTTCTGAAAGCGTCTTTTAGCTCTGTAGACTCAAGGGGTAAATAGAGGCTTCAACTTCTACACAGGTCTGTAGCTGTAGGCTAACTACTACATTTTGTTCAGACTACACTGTCCACTCAGATATTTTGCAACTCTTCCAGCTGTGCTATTCAGCGCTATCTTCTAGTTGTCGGATGCGTCGCACTGTGCCGTGTGATGGAAATTACCTCTGTCTGTGGTGCTATGTTCTGCGGCTCATGTCTGGTCTGTAATTCGCAGCTAATTATAACAGGCAACACCTGCGCCACGCAGTGCATGCTGGAGGAGAGATGACTTCCCTCTCCTCCTTATGATTTTTTGTGTCTTTTTTGCAGCTTGTTCCTTCGCCTTCTTTCAATCAGCTGTTGAACAGTAGACACACGTGTCCTCTTTTAATGTTCTCTAAGGAGACTTGAATCTGACTTGACTTGGACTAAGTCACATCCCAGTTGCCAGGATTCACATTAGTAAGCAACTGGTGAGCTCACTGGTGTTGACTTTCGGGACAGTAAAATATCCGCGTTTCTGCCTTTTCGGGGTTCAGAGCGCGTCGGCGCTTACACTGGTTTCCTGGCAACGAGGCGCGCGCAGGTGCGGCTGTGAGCGCGCCTCTCCTCGCTGCAGAGAACTTGTTGGTTGCTGGAGGATAAACCTGAATTCTGTTTTATTCTCAGTTTAGTAAACGTGTCTGTATTTGCTCTGGATCCCTCAACTCTTCACCGGGTAACCGGGTAACCTGAAGCCCTTCTGATCCTCCAGTGATGAAACTACAAATCTAACAGTGTGCTCAGAGTATCTGCAGCATGCAAGGAGAGGAGCTTCAAGTGGGCTTCTCATCAAAATGTCCCACAAAGCACAAAAATAAATTTAATTGTATCCTTTAATTAAAACATGAATGGAAGCACTTTGTTGTGTAGAGTAGAGCTAGAATCGTTATCAGCGATTCATTAAGGACTTGGTAGATGGAGTTTACACACTTGGTGTGTTCTAGACAGACCAACATGGCTGGGTTAGCTTCATTTATGCAAATGTCGAGCACGTCTAGGCTGTGCATACAGACATATTGAGATCCTATACAATTACGTTTGAGAGGATTCTCGTCTTTCACGGATTCAAAAGACTTCTGGCGTGATTATCATGGTAATTAGCCAAGCCGAAGCGCCTCTCAAGTCTGTCTACAAGTTTCAGCTGCAGACAGCATCACCTTTGAAACATTTCAACACTAAGCAACAAGGCAGGCTCAAATGATGTCCATATTCAGCCGTGCAGGAGAGTATGTTTTTGCTTCTGCTACAGGCTGCACTATTGAGAAGTAGATACAAGCTCCTGTTTAGGCCCATTGACTCAAATAATATATTAAATATAGTGGGAATATCCTCAGGATGCTGAACATAAAAATACAGGGACACACGGGGACACGGGACTGCATTCCTTTGACTGTCAGCTGTGGTGCTGCTATAATTTATAGCAGTTATTTATAATGCTATTGCAAAGATACAGAGAGATGCTACAAGAATAAGAATCAACACATATAACACACACACACACACACACACACACACACACACACACACACACACACACACACACACACACTATAGGAATTAGAGGGATGTTTGGTTGATGGATGAGTGATGTGCCACCATGCACTTCTGCATGCGTCTGTTGGGGGGCGTGAGAGTCGCTCTTATAGGTTCGCATGATAATTACATCGTCCGTCTTGCATAATATCAAAAATCTCAGAGGGTGGGAACAGTGTTACCTCACTGATTCACAAGGGGGTGGGCCTTGGACAGCGTATATGATTTTGGACAAATGAGATGTTAAACCACTTGGAGACAACGGTGCTGGAGATGTAGCCATCCTGGCGGACAGCCCCAACTCCCCCGTGTGCCGCGGGGAGGACCGGGGCTGTGGATGTAGAGGGAAGCCATCTGACGACATGTGAGTGGAGAGAAAAAAATAAAGAGGACCCGTAAAATTTTTAAAAATGGACGGGGCCGGTGGGACGTCACGATGCGTCGTCGCCACAAAGCTCTGTACGCCGCTCATGAACGCGCTCATTTGGCTCCCAGCATGCCGCACGTCCGGAGAGACCAGCGCTTTCCAGGAGCTCAGCTGAACCCAGTGCAGTACACCCTGCTGCACCCGTGTAGGAGAAAGTAAGAACCGTGTTTTGTGTAATAAGTGATTTGTGTGTGTGTGTGTGTGACGGCACGACTCGGGGTAAAAAAAAAACAGAAAGCTGCAGGAGCCGAGCAGCACTGAGGGCTTTAAGGGTACAACATGCTGATGTGTTTGTCCCCATTGTGCATGAAGTGAGGACTCGTAAGGCGCAGCAAAGCTTTGAGATTTTCTTCAAGTGAGGCTTGTTTTTGATAGATAAAAGATCAAAGATGCGCGGACGATGCGCACCATCAGCATCTGAGATAAAGGCTCCAACGATGGTACGATGGCAGCAGCGCAGACGTGTAGTTTCACTTGTGGCTGCAAACACTTTTGTTTGGCACCAGAAAGCACATGTGTGCACAAATCTGACCGCAGGAGTGAGTTTAGCGGGTTTTTCTTGACTTACGGTTGGTCACAGGTGATCTGTTTTCGATAAGTTTTCTCTCTCGTTTGTTGGTATAAAATTTTATGTTGCACGCTCGGGATTAATGGTCACTGAGATCCCCTTTTTCCTCTCCCCTCCCTCTGTTTAGCCCACCTTTGTCTAAAAGGTGACTCTTTGGTAGCAGTGGGTTGGTGTTTACTGACGCAAACGAAGCAACATTGAATTTACTTTTTGGACTATTCCGTTTTTCCGTTGATGCCGACCTTGGATCAACCATATGCTGTGTTGTTATTGTGCATAAGTTCACGTTGCGTCATTTTCAAGAGTTCACAGACTGGAGGAACATAAGTTCTCCTCTAACTGATCTAATATGTAATCATAATGTGGTAGTGAGAGCCTAACACCGGCCTGTGTTGGTGATGGTGTTGGAGTGGCCTCGGGCGCCATAGCCTTTTGCAGCCTTGTGTTGTTTGGCCTGTTTGCTGTCAGCCGATTACGCACTGGAAAGGCTAAGCAGTGAAGCAAGCATGAAAAAAGGCCAAGGTGATTACTGTACGTGAACCCAGCAGCGCTCCTGCAGGGCTTCATGTAGCCCGGGATTATACACCCCGGTGCCAGCATAGCGCTCTGCCCGGAGAGCTCTTACATAAGGCCCGCTTAATCTGTGTGAGAGGGAATCAGACTTCATGTGTGTGTTTGGACTTTTTAACATCTGACTGACATTGAAATGTTACGCGCAGCTCCTCCAAAAAGATGCCCCCTCATTTGGAGCTCATTCTAGATCCTCTCTTCAATAAAAACTGTTCTGATTGCAAAAGAAACACGTGCAAAGGATCCATTTGCTGTCTTCTTCATTACTGAACCCCAGAACAGCACAATCCACATGTGCACATGTACAGCAAAGGACCAGGTGGTAGTGATGGTGGTCCTGCAACATAAGAAACAGGAACCGGCATATAGGTGTCAATATGACTCAGCAGTTAAACTGAACAGGTGAATCCAGGTGCACGATCAAGCGTTCACTGACCTCCTCCCACAGGTTACATTCACGCCGTGTCCCGGAGACGGAAGTGCATCACAAGTGAGAAGTCAGCTGATGCACAAGTGGATAAGTTGCTAATTTGAAGTGGGACCGCTGCAACACCTCAGGAGCGTTGCCGGTGCAGAGTCAGT